TAATGGACGAGCCGCCCCTGCATCTATGGCAAGATGCCTGCCATAGATGCAGGCGAAACGGTAGGAGAAAATGCTTCTGGTACATTGCCATACAATCTGAAAAACTTATAACAACCCAGTGATTTTGGCCATGAAAGCCTTTGACAATACAAAACCCCTTCTGATATATGAGTTAAGAGAAAGATCTACCTAAACAAAACAAAAAAAAAGACTCAGTGGTGGAAAGAGAGTAGAAATTGGGTTGTTTCGGGCTATATGGCCATGTTCTAGGGAACAGCTGCAAAGGCTCTCTCTCCTTGTGCTGCAACATTGATAAATGGGGTTTATATGACCAAGCAATAGTTCAGTTAGTTCAGTTCAGTTAGGTGATCCCTTGTAGCTCAAGGATGATGGTCTTCCAGATGTAGTGTCTAGGCCAGGGGTCCTCAAACTTTTTAAACAGAGGGCCAGGTCACAGTCCCTCAAACTGTTGGGGAGCCGGATTATAATTTGAAAAAAACATGAATTCCTATGCACACTTAAAATAATACAATAATTAAAATGAAGAACAATTTTAACAAATATAAACTTATTAGTATTTCAATGGGAAGTGTGGGCCTGCTTTTGGCTGATGAGATAGAATTATTGTTGTTGTTGTGTGCTTTCAAGTCATTTCAGACTTAGGTTGACCCTGATGAGGGCCGGGTAAATGACCTTGGAGGGCCGTATTCGGCCCCTGGGCCTTAGTTTGAGGACCCCTGGACTAGACAATGCCAAAGCGAAACTTTTACCTTTTTACATAATGAAAGATCTTAGAGATGGGACCCAATTGTAGACTAGAAATTCATGTATGTTTCTTATACATTTTATACCCATAGCCTGAAGGTAATTCCATACAATATTTTTAATCTTTTTGTGCATGAAACAAAGCTTGCGAGCCTAGTAAAAGCATCACTATCTCAGCCACCCATGTGGATTATTTTGGATTCCAGAATATTCAGAAATACGGGGTGTTTCACCTGTATGACATATGTTCAGCCAGGGCTATGAGGAAATGCTTTGTGCTTACCTATATGGTTGTACATGTTCTGGCATGTTCAGTATATGTCCTGTGGCTCTCTCAAATTGGAAGCAAAGGCCAATGACGTGAGGTAGGTGCTGAATCAGCGCTGATATGAATGCTGACTCACCGGCATGACTTTCCATGGTTAAAGTGTCCGATTTTCTCATATTATGTTACTCTTGGTGAACATTCATAATAAACCATGCTACAGGGTGGAGTGAGACAGGGACCACTCCTGCATCTGAATCACCCAGTTACATGACAGAGTTTTCCATTTGCCTTTGTTGTTGTTTTGCCTATCAAAACCATACCAACTGACCCAGTTTGGCCAAAACTATCTCAATCAATCTTCTGTCATCTCATTTTTTTCAACTGCTTTTAAAATGTTCCAGATTCCAGTTTCTCTCATCACTTCGTCTTTGTCCTTGGCAGGCATGTAGCCGGGGGGGGGGGGGGGGGGGGGGGAGGGGCTTCATGGTTAATTTGACGATACTCTGATGATGCTTGGCAGTGGGTTGGACTGGATGGCCCACAAGGTCTCTTCCAACTCCATGAATCTATATGTCTCAGTTTTCATCTCTCAGCTTTACACACACATGTAAAGGTGGTAAGCTTGATCTCTGTGCTATCAAAAGAGATTAGGTTCTTTAGTATATAATTAGTTAGGCAATCCTTCGTAGTCCGAGGATGATGGGTCTCCAAGTGTAGTGTCTTGGCGGTGGGTCTGTAAGTGTCCATGGAGCCCTATTCTTTTTTTAAAAAATAATTTTATTAGTAAATTACACAAAATAGCATAAAATAGCATAGAATGATATAGTATATATACTATATAATTATGTAAGCAATGTACAGACTACTATAAAAAGGAAAAAAATTAAACGAGAGAAAAAATAATAAAAATAATAAATAATAAAAATATTACTTCAGTTCTTCCTCCTTTTGCCATTTACCAATTTATATTATGTTTCCATGTTTTTCTTATAATAAGGGGGGAAAAAGAAAAGAAAAGATTTTTCCCTCCATCTTCCATTCCAGGTATCCTCATTCTTTTTCTTTAATGTTCATTTTTCATATAGTCCTCAAGGACCTTCCAGTCCGTGATTTTCATGGAGCCCTATTCTTGATCTGCATGTTCTCCCACGGTGAGGACATTGGTTTCCAATGGAAGGTGGTCCAGGTGAGGGTTGGCTTGATGTGCCTTCCTCTTGGCACATTTTTCCCTTTCACCCTCCATTCGTGCCTTTTTTGAATTCTGCAGCACTGCTGGTCACAGCTGACCTCCAGTTAGTGCGCTCAAGGGCCAGGGTTTCCCAGTTCTTAGGATCTCTGCCACAGTTTTTAAGGTTGGCTTGTAGCCCATCTTTAATTCTCTTTTCCTGCCCACCAACATTTCATTGCCATTCTTGAGTTCGGAGTAGAGTAACTGGTTTGGGAGACAGTGATCGGACATTCGGACAACGTGGCCAGTCCAGCCGAGTTGATGGCAGAGGAGCATCGCTTTAATGCTGGTGGTCTTTGCTTCTTCCAGCACGCTGACATTTCTCTGCCTATCTTCCCAAGAGATTTGCAGGATTTTTCAGAGGCAGTGCTGATAGTATCATTCCAGGAGTTGAGTATGACGTCCAGCGTATATATACAAGCAGCTCCCAAGTTATGAACAAGATGTTCAGAAGATTTCAACTCACTTTCTGCCCCTGTGATAATTTAATTTTGAAAAAACAATGACTTGTTGTGGAAACAAGGATTGGTGATAAAGCTTCAGTTGAAACATCTTTTCTCCATGATAACTCTTTCAGGAGTGAATTTCCCTTCCAAGGGGAAGATTTATCTCACTTCCAGTTGTCTCAATATGTTTGTAATTATGAGTTGTTTGTGAGTCAGATGTTTGTAACTCAAGGACTGCCTGAATATGCCTGAACAACTTAAACATGACACAACAATGTCATATGGCGGCAAAAAAGGCCAATGGGATTTTGGCCTGCAAAAGTAGGAGTCTAGTGCCTAGATCCAGGAAATAACAAATAATTCTGCCTTAATTCCTCCTTGATCAGACCACACCTGGAATCACACTGTGTCTAATTCTGGGCATTGCAACTGAAGTAAGATGTTGACAAGCTGGAATGTCTCCCGGAGAGGGTGACTCAAATGATTAAAGATCTGGAGAACAAGCCCTATGAGGAGCAGCTTAAAGAGTTGGCCATGTTTCGCCTGCAGAAGAGAAGGCTGAGAGGAGACATGATGAGAGCCATGGATAAATATGTGAGGGGAAGTCATAGGGAGGAGGGAGCAAACTTGTATTCTTCTGCCCTGGAGACCAGGATATGGAACAATGACTTCAGACTACAGGAAAGGAGATTCCACTTGAACATCAGGAAGAACTTCCTGACTGTGAGAGCTGTTCAGCAGTGGAACTCTCTGCCCTGGAGTGTGATGGAGACTCCTTCTTTGGAGGCTTTTAAACAGAGGCTGGATGGCCATCTGTTGGGGTGCTTTGAATGCGATTTTCCTGCTTCTTGGCAGAATGGGGTTGGACTGGATGTCTCACGAGGTCTCTTCCAACTATGATTCTATGAAATAGTTACTGTTCTGATATGATGGTGATGATAATTTCAGATGTTGCCTGAAGATTTGAATGTGGCCTTTTTCCCAGCATTCCCACACATAGAGATCTGGTTTCTGGTTTCACTGATTTAGCAGAAGTATTGAGATTTCCCTACTCTTTTCTGCCCCTCTTTGGAAAAAGGACCCCCAGTTCATTCAAAATATGTGAAGCAAGCGGGAAGGAATTCCTATCCGGACATCTGTTTAGTGTCCTCTCCTTGCAGGTTTTCCAGGTGGTGCTCGCTGCCCAGACTTGCCTGCAATTATCTTCTCCTGCCTTGAAGCCCTGAATGAACGGCATCAGGAATGATCCCTCAACTGGCTGTTCAAGTTCCTGGCAGAGGCGTCACCCCAATAAGCATCCTCAAAATGCTGAGGAAGGGAAGTTATGGGCCCTGGCTGGTTAGGATTCATGCACATTAAAAAAAACCCTTCGAGCCAATATCAGGGTACTGAAGAACAAAGGCCCCAAAGAGGTGTGTCTCATCAAGGAGGCAACGGAGCCCCACCCCAGCTGTCTGCTCATATTTAATGTTTGAGCTTCATTTTTCAGACACTGACGGCACCAGAACGTTCCCAAGACTGCATCAAGACTGGGATTTAGCAAGAATAGCAATGGGTACCTGTCTCCAGCTCCATAGCTGCATCCCTTTCCTTCTGGTGGGATTGGCGTTCTTCATGAAAGGTAGGAGTTGGAAGAATCATAATGAGATTAACAGTAGCTGATCCTAGTAGGATGATGAAGAATAGGCACAGAGGTGGTCAGCATGCATGACTATCTTGACAGCCTCTGTACTTACTTACTTACTTACTTAGGTGATCCCTCGTAGCTCAAGGATGATGGTCCTCCAAGTGTAGTATCTTGGTGGTGGATCTGTAGTGACTGTGGAGCCAAATTCTTGATCCACATGTTCTCCCCCAATGAGGACATCGGTTTCCAGGTTGAAGGCAGTCCCAGTCAGGGTTGGCTTGACGTGCCTTCCTCTTGGCACGTTTCTCCCTTTCGCCCTCCATTCATGCCTCTTCGAATTCTGCAGCACTGCTGGTCACAGCTGACCTCCAGCTAGAGCGCTCAAGGGCCAGGGCTTCCCAGTTCTTGGTGTCTATGCCACAATTTTTAAGGTTGGCTTTAAGCCCATCTTTAAATCTCTTTTCCTGTCCACCAACATTATGTTTCCCATTCTTGAGTTGAGAATATAGTAATTGCTTTGAGAGACAGTTATCAGGCAGATGTTTGAATTTGAGTTGACGGCTTTCAGGGAGCAGAATTCTTTTGATGCATTGCTTCTTCCAGCACACTGACATTTGTCCGCCTGTCTTCACAAGAGATTTGCAGGATTTTTCAGAGCCAACGCTGATGGAATCGTTCTAAGAGTTGACGTCTGTAGACAGTCCATGTTTCGCAGGTGTATAGTAGGGTTGGGAGGACAATGGCTTTATAAACAAGCACCTTGGTCTCCCTATAGATGTCCCAGTCCTCAAACACTCTCTGCTTCATTCGGAAAAATGCTGCACTCGCAGAGCTCAGGCAGTGTTGTATTTCAGTGTCAATGTTGACTTTTATGGAGAGGTAGCTGCCAAGGTAGCAGAAATGGTCAACATTTTCTAATGCTTCACAGCCTCTGTAAGAAACCTGGATTCCTGATAGTGTGAGGTAAGCTGTGCAAATGAATCCCAAATGTCATGTAAAAGATGAGCTTATTTTCTGCTGCTTCACACATTAAAGCATGAAATAATGGATTTAGATAGCAAGAAAATGGATTCCACTTAAACATAAAGGAAACATCTTTACTATAGGGACTGCTTGAGTGTGGAGTATGGTGGACTCCATACTCTCTAGAACGCTTGGATGGACTTCTTTTAGGAGTGTTGCCATTGCATTTTCCTGCATGGATGATCCTTGAAACCTCTTCTAACGCTATGATTTTATGGCCTTCCTCCTGGTTTTGAGGAAAGAACGGCTGTTTCACATCACCTTTAAAGGAATAGTGGTGGTTTTGGAAACTGGGCAGTTACATCGCTCTTCAGTTTGGCAATCATGTTTCCGGTATGAGAAAAGGAAAGGTTGCATCTCTGTACTGTGGGAAAGTAAATTGAGAAACATTTGAATATGTATTGCTTAGGACTATACTTAGCTATAATGTATACTGTATGTGGTAACAGAAAGCTAGATAGATCCTCATAAGGAAAGACATCTCGTATGGAGTTTAAGTCTGATCAATTGATGTTAAAGGCAAAACAATAGCTCACAAGAAAGGGGAGAGAGAATACTTTGGTTTTAGAGATATATCTATAGGTCAACTTGGGTGTATTGTACAGGCAGACTGGACTTTTCCCTCCCATGCTTTAGATCAGAAGTTTAGTCCTCCAGATCTCATAGAGTCGTAGAGTTGGAAGAGAACTTGTGGCCCATCCTGTCCAACCCCTCTGCCAAGAAGCAGGAAAATTGCATTCAAAACACCCCCGACAGATGGCCATCCAGCCTCTGCGTAAAAGCCTCCAAAGAAGGTGCCTCTACCACACTTCGAGGCAGAGAGTTCCACTGTTGAACAGCTCATACAGTCAGGAAGTACTTTCTCGTGTTCAGGTGGAATCTCCTTTCCTGTAGTTTATGTTAGACATCAGCTCCTAGAATCCCTAATCTTTGGCTCTGGAACTTCAGGAAGAGGATGTCCAAAACATCTTGATGAATACAGACCAGGAGCCATTGTTTTAGCCAATGTATCAACGCCATGCCACAAGCATCCTCTCAGAAGGAATTCTTGTCTTCTATGACCACTTGCTGAATGATTAATTCATATTACCTTTCTCCCCCTCAAACTTATCTAATTATTTGTAATGTAGTAATGTAGAAGAAAGGTTGTATCCTCATTCTGTTGATTCTTGGAGGCTGGAAGGCAAGGAAACAAATTGGAAAGGAACCCATGTGGTGTAACCTTTGAAGTTAGGATATTTTTGGACGTTTTTAAAAGTAATGTATTACTGTGAAGATTGCCACAGTTAAGTAACGTGTTCTGCGTTGCTCATCCATTCTTCATTGCTTTTCCATTGCTTTTCAAAACAACGTTTGGGAGGGGGTTTTTTGGTTCCAGGAGTGACTTGAGAAACATCAAGTCGCTTCTGGTATAAGAGAATTGACCATCTGCAAGGACATTGCCCAGGGGACACCTGGATGTTTTACCATCCTGTGGGAGGCATCTCTCATGTCCCCACATGAGAAGCTGGAGCCAACAGATGGGAGCTCACCCTGCTCCCTCGATTCAAAGTGCCGATCTTTAGGTCAGCAGTCCTGCCAGCACAAGGTTTAACCCATTGCACCACCAGGAGTAATAAATTTCTGTTGCAAGACTCTCTTTAAAAGGAAACCAAAGACAACAAAGAAAACATGATTCATTATACTGTACGAGTTTGTAACTGAATTATTAAGAAGACATTATTTCCATCTTCTGCATATGTGACTCAGCAAGCCTGAGCTCCTATCTTTCTTCATCAATAAAATCCATTGTCTGATCTCAAGACAGTCATAATTTCTTCACCTAACAGACCTCAGCAGAATAGCCACACTCAAGCAATTTAATTAATTTATTATTATTTATTTATTTAGAGCTTTTATAACCCGGTCTTCTCGACCTCCGAGGAGGGACTCAGGCCGGCTAACAACAGAGAATCAATATACAAATAAACTAAAGCATAATAACATCATAGTACATTAATACATTAAAACACATTAAAATACAGATCAAGAATTACATAAAGCCAATTTGTCAAGGTAAATCACAAATTCACCACCATCCGCCTTGTGGTCAACAGTTATTGATTCGATCATCAATCTGAGAATGCTAAGTTCCAGAGCCAAGATTTTACCATCTTTCTGAAAGTCAGGAGGGAGGGGGCAGATCTGATCTCTATCGGGAGAGAGTTCCACAGCCGAGGGGCCACCACCGAGAAGGCCCTGTCTCTCGTCCCCACCAGACACGATTGCGAAAGTGGTGGGACCGAGAGCAGGGCCCCTCCAGAAGATCTTAACAACCTTGATGGTTCATAGGGGAGAATCTGTTCAGACAGGTAAACTGGGCCGAAGTCGTTTAGGGCTTTATAGGTCAACACCAGCACTTTGAATTTAAGGGAACAACAGAATAGAAGGGCAGCAATTTACATACATTTTGATTGAAGACACTACAGTGAAGTATATTTATATACTTTTATCCCATTGCAAAAATTGCATATCATTCCTTTTATTTTCACAACAACTTTTGGAAAGGTGTGGGAACTATAAGAGGAAGAGCACAGGGTAACCATGCATTTCAGAGGAAAATATGAAAATAATTCAAAAAGTGGGCAAAATGTCAGGAGAGAATGCTTCTGTAACATGGCCATAAGCTTGGAAAACTCACAGCAACCCAGAAAAATAGATAATCCTTCTGGATGGACAGGGGGAAGGTGGAAATACCATTTGAGTGAATATTGTTTCAAGAGGCATTTAAATTAATAGCATTGTTTGTTGTTTTTAACTTACATCATGCCAACTTTGACTAATAGCCTTACGATGAATGAAAGAACCACATCCTCTGCTCTGGTCATGCAACCCAGCTTTGATTGAGTCTTTCCATTTGGAATGTGATATTCCTCTTTTCCTATTGTATTCTCATTATCAAGCATCATTGTCTCTTGCAATGAGTCATGTCTTCTTTTAATGTGGCCAAAGCATAACAGCTTCTGTTTAATTACCTTGCCTTCAAGGGAGAGTTCAGACTTGATTTGTTTTTTGGGTGACAATGGTACCCCTAGAAGTCGGTGCACATGTCAAATGAGCTGATTTTCTTCCTATCAGCTTTCTTCACTGTCCATCTTCCACAACATGGAAATGAGGAATATGATGGCATGAGCTATCTTAACTTTAGTATTTAATGTTCTAACTCTTCAGGATCTTCTCTAATTAGCCTTCTTCTGATTTCCTGACTCCAGTCTCCATTCAGAGTAAGGTCTGAGCCAAGGGATGCAAAAACTTTCACTGTTCACTGTTTAACTGACATTAAATCCAGTTGTGTCTGACTCTGGGGATTGGTGCTCACCTCCATTTCTAAGCCAGCATTGTTCATAGACACCTCAAGAAGATGTGGCCGACATGACTGCATGGAGCGCTGTTACTTTCCCGCTGGAGCAGTACCTATTGATCTACTCACAAGGCCATGTGGCCAGTAGGCCTGGTTGATCAAGAAAAAATTTGTTTCTAAAATCGATTTGTAATTGGGGTGTTTTTTTGTTTCGATATTTAAAATAATTACAAAACTTTCCCAAAAAAAGTTTTGGTATTTACGAAATTTCGTAAATATTTACAAAACATTTTGTAAAGATGGCGGACCCCCGCGCATGCGCAAAAACACTTCCGAAGCTTCGTTATTGGCGCGGGGTCGATTCGTTAAGGAAATAACGAATCGATTCGTTAAGATGGCGGACGCGATCACGCATGCGCAAAAGCGGCTTCCGAAACGTCGTTATTAATTACGATTCGATTCGATATTAAGATAATAACGAATCGATTCGTTAAAGCGAATACTTTGTATTTTTTTAAGAATAAAAGACAGGTATTTTTAGAAAATATTCAAAAATGGAAAATTAACCCAAAACTGGCCCTGATGTGGACCAAACACAGCCACGAGACAGGACAAATGAGAGCACACACCA